AGGCCAGCATGGAAAAGATGAGCCGGAGCCTCTTTCACATGGGCCTCGGCAGGCAAGAGCGGCTGCAGTCACAGGTCAGGGCCACTTAGCTCTGGAGAGGCAGACAGAACAGAGCCCGCTGTTCACACCCGCTCGGCTGGTGAGCGGACGCAGGCCGTCCAGGGGGAGCATGGACGGCAGGCTCTCGGGAGGACCAGCATGCCGTCCAGCCGCTGGGGGGTGGGAACTCTAAGTCTGAGCGGCTCCAGGAGGGGCTGGGGCACACAGCTTTGCCATTCTCCGCTCACTTGATTGTTTTTCATCCTGGAAGGCTCACGAGCGAGGATCCCAGGCCGGATGAGCACAGCGACACCCTGACTGCTTGGCTTACTTGCTTCTCAGGCAGAGTTTGGTAGAAAAGGACGATAGAATGTCATGACCAGGTCATAGAAGGTTCCAGATACTAGCACAAGCTACCTTTCACCCTACAGGTCAGCCGCCACTGGAAGTCTGATCTCAGCGATCAGTGCTGACGGAAGAGTGCAGTCACGGCACCCCGCTGGTTCGCTTTGGGTTTCTGTGGGGAAGAAACTATTGGGATGCACTCCGTGTGGTCCCGCTGCCCCTGAGACTGCTTTGCACTAGGCTGTGGCTGTGGGTGCACACTCAGCTTGAACGTCTCCAGTATCCAGAGAGCATTTTCTGAAGGGTCTGTCTCTCCACACTGATCTGAGAGGCCACGTGCGGAAACCAAGGTAGCCAAGGCGCGGAGTCAGGAGATGCCCGACTAGAAATGTCCAGGAAGGAGCTGGCACAAGTGTGCGATGGATTTTTCCTTGTGTTGAACTACTGAGATTTCTGAGTGTATTAGTGCATCACAGTCTAGGCTATCCGACTAACACCATCTCTCCAGTTCTTCCTGAAGAACCAGGATAGCCTCTCTCCAAAGGCCTCCCTGGTTCCGTAAGTCTTACTTGATCAGCAAAGAGAAGGCCTTCTCCACTCAGCTCCTTCCTGATGCTGCCCGAACTTCAGCAGTTATGCCCGTGTCTTCCCCCCGAATACTACTGTATCTTACCTTAGAGAAGGACCATGGGGCCCTGAGCATAGAGGCCTGGACAGGCTCTCCAGGCCTGTCGGTTTCCCTGCTGTTCTAGTCCCTGGCTCACCATTACAAAAACCTTCCCAAGTGCTGGTATAGGATCTAGGTGAAAACTTCTGGCAACTGAAAAACTCAGTTCTGATAACAAAAGTCTAACTCTCTGTACATTCTAAATAGTGGTACTATATTGCCCAGAGTTTCCAGTCACCGTGGACTGTCTTAGGTTACCACCTCTCCTCTCTCCCCTCCTCCCCCCTCCTTTTCTCTCTCTCTCTCTCAATAGGACATTGCCAGGAAGCTGAGGCTAGCCTTGAACTCATGATCCTTCTATCTCTGCTTCTTTAGTGCTGGGATTATAAAATGTACACCACTAGGCCTGGTCTCCTTTTAAAAATGTTCCAAATGGACAAACAGTAATAAGGTAGGATAAATCAGAGAAAAGGAGGCATGGAGAACAGGACCAGGAATTCGGAGGAAATCACTGTATTGATGAGTAGCTTGCGTAGAAGTACACAGGCCCTGTTTTCTTTGCTTTAAGCCTTCCACCCCCTCGAGAAGCTGCAACGTTTAGTGAAAAGGGAAAAAAGAGGAGAAAAAAGAAAGCATCTCTCTCCTGACCTTGTCTGTCTGCCTAAATACCAAGTACGCTGTGGGAGCTGAGCGATGGTAGGCGACAGCATCACAACTCAAACCCGGGACACTGAGCCCACCTTGCGTGTCACGGGGAAACCTCCGGAACCACCAACAGGACACCAATAACTTTCCCTTGCACTCCTGTCCCCAGAGGATGCCCGAGGGGTTCCCTCATCCACGCAAATTCCTTGAGACCCACTCTCAAAAAGCATCGTTCTCATACAACAGGAGTGCAAGTTTTAGCAAGGATTTTAGTAGAACAGGGTAAAATAGGGAGAGAGGGAGACATTTTTCTGTTTCCCATTCAGGAAACAGTAGTAAGACTCAAAATGGCAGTGCCTATCTGTGGCTTTTATGCCTTCTGGACTGGTGGATACAGTCTTACTCCAGGTCTGGCTAGTCTAGTAACTCCTAATTGTTAGACAGGAGTTTGGCATCGGTAAATGAAACACAAGTTACCTCTGGACTTCCTTTTGCTACACCTGACTTACACTTCTTCTATCTCTACCCATCCCTGAGGTTTCCAGATAGTTACCATTTAAAAAGAAGCATATTTAGATAGCCCTTCCAATACTTCTAAATCTTGTAACTTAATATTATTAAGGAAGTGGGAGGGAGCTTACCAGCTTTTACAGTCTACTTCCTGGTTTTTAACTTCTGAGTCTGGCCCTTTTGAGATTATATATATACATATATATATATATATATATATATATATATGGGGGGGTTTTTTTGGTCAGTTTTCGGGCTCGAACTCTGGGCCTGGGCACTGACCCTGAGCTCTTCAGCTCAAGGCAAGTACTCTAGTCACAGAGCCACTCCCAGTTTTCTGTTGGTTAAATGGAGTCTTACAGACTTTCCTGCCTGGGCTGGCTTTGAACTGTCATCCTCAGATCTCAACCTCCTGAGTAGCAAGTATTACAGGCATGAGCCACCAGCGCCCAGCTATATATTTTTAAATATAATTTCTCTCTTTTCATCTATCTATTCTGGCTCCATGCCAATGGGGAGAAATTGGGGCATCACTGCATTAGGCATTTAAGAAGCCTCTCTCTTTTTCCCTTTCTTCTCTCCTTCCCTCTTCTTTCCTTCTTTCCTTCCTTCCTTACCTTCTTTCATAGTGCAGGTATTTGAACTCAAGGCCTTGCACATGCTAGGCAAGAGTCTACCACTTGAGCCAACATTCCACCATTTTTTTGTTTTGTTTTTGTCAGTCGTGGGGCCTGAACTCTGGGCCTGGACACTGTCCCTCAGCTCTTCAGCTCAAGGTGAGCACTCTGCCACTTGAGCCACAGGGCCACTTCCGGTTTTCTGGTGGTTTCTTGAGGATGAGTCTCAGATCTTTCCTGTCTGGGCTGGCTTTGAACCTCCGTCCTCAGATCTCGTTCTGAGTAGCTGGGATGACAGGTGTGAGGCCCCAGCATCCAGCTATTGTTTTTTTCCTCCAAAGGCTGGCCGGGGGGTCTGGCATCTGCCTAAGGCCTTCCATGGAGTTGGAACCATGGCTGTGTGCCACTGTGCTCAACTTTTTGATTGTGACAGGAATCTTACGAACTTTTTGCCCAGGCTTGTACAGAATTAGAATCCTTCTGCTCTCTGCCTCAAGCAGTTGTGATTACAGGCACACACTGCTGTGCCTGGCCTTCAAGGAAATCTCCAGAAAGCTCCAGCTATAGAGATACTTTTGTAAAACAACAGAGAAACAACCAATTGTACTTTGGCCACAGCCCTTCAACACAGATGGGGTGCCTTGGACCACCCCGGCTCATCCAGTGGCTCCTGGCCTTAAAACTTTACTAAACAAAAAATAAGGTGAAAAGCCAACATTATTAACCATTTCCTAGCTGGAATAACTTTCCAAAAAATACTTGAAAAAGCACCAGTGCTGCCCCTTTGCCCTTCTTGCTAGAGCTCTGTCTTTCTTGAGTCTAGGCTGAGCCCAGTCACAGGTGTTCTGGGCAGCATTCCCGGCCGCCAGCCGCAGGCAGCACAGGTATGCGCTCCGCGCTCCGCTATTAAAAGGAACACCCCGCCCACACCTGGCTGCTGACTCAGCTCCTCTGCTCACCCACTCCCCTTCTTTCCAAGAAATTTCTTAGATATTCCACTTAGGTATTACAGCAAGTGCTGTCTTTTGTCCCAACTGTAAGAAAAAAGGAGAAAGGACAGATTCTTCTTCTCCTTAACCCCGTACGCAGCTTGACCCGCACGCGAAGTCCCCGTCTGTGCTCTGTCTTTTGGCCTCAGCCTTCTCTTGGGATTTTCTTTCTCCTTTCCTTTTGGATTAAAAACATGGTGAAAAGCCAGGCACTGGTGGTTTACGCCTATAATCCTGGCTACTCAGCAGGCTGAGATCTGAGGATCAAGGGTCAAAGCCAGCCCAGGCAGACACATCCAAGGGAGGCGATTGTCTGTGCCAGGGGAGGCGCAGACGCTGGCTCGAATATCACCCCTCACACCTTCCCATGACTAATTGAACACACACGTCAGAGGACTGCGTTGCTAGGGAAGACACCAACAGAAAAGCAACAGGTTTAAACACAATGTTTTATTTGGATACTGCATACATTGTCAGGACCCATGATTGTTCTGAGAATGGAATTCTTTTGGATAACACCAGCAGCAAAGCAAATAACATTTCCCAAGACAAATAGTTACACTTAAGGAATTCCCTTCTCTGACATGTTATAGTTCAGTTGAAACTTAATTCATAAGTATTTGGAGTAGCTCAAAAAATAAACAACCCATATATAAAAACAGATGCAGCAAATAAAAGTATATTCCAATTCAACACCTTTAATGAAGACAGTGCCTGATAAGTTCAAAGGTTTTGCTTTAAAAAAAAACAAACCCTCAAACGATGGCTGACAGTGTTGCTTTTATTTCTAACATGAAAGAAGACACTTGACACGTGTGTGTATGCACACCAGTCTTAGAGCTTGAACGAAGAGCCTGGGCTCTGTCCCTGAGCTTTCTTGCCCAAGGCTAGCACTCTACCATTTGGGCCATAGCTCCACTTCCAACTTTTTGGTGGTTAACTGAAGATAAGAGTCTCACATACTTTCCTGCCTGGGCTGACTTCAAATTGTGATCCTCAGATCTCAGCCTCCTGAGTAGCCAGGATGACAGCCGTGAGCCACCAGCGCCCAGCTAACACATTTATCTTTTAAGTACAGAGAATACACTCTGCCCACTGCAGGAGGTTGACGGGATACAGTCCTCAGCCCCTCTGGAGTGTCACAACAGCAGTAGGACAAGTCTCAGGATCATCAAGAAGCTGAAGTAAAATCAAACAAAGACAAAGGAGGTCACTCGGACACAGGCAGAGCCAGATACTACACTACACGGCATACACGTGTTCATGAGATCAGGGGCTGCCAGGGCAAAATAGCTGAGCCAGATGTGCAGGCCCACACCTGTCACTCAAACGATGTGGGAGGCTGAGAAAAGGAGGATCATGGTTTGAGGCCAGTTGGCCAGAAAAGTTCATGTGATTCCCTTTTCCTCCACAGCTGGATGCATCATGAGCTACGTGGCAGGCTGTGCTATAACAGAGAAGCTGGTGTGGTGGTGCAGGTCTGTGATCTCAGCAACTACAGAAAGCAGAAAGTAGACCGACTGTGGCCCGGGTGCTCCAGGGCAGGCAGGCTAACTCCTAAAAGGAACCCGTGAAAAACAGGCCGGGAGCCTGGCTCAAACAACAGAGTGCCAGCCCAGCAAGCACAGGCCTGAGTTCAGACCCCAGTACTCACCCTGCCCCAAATAAAGTACACCTAATAAAAAACATCACAACACCAAAGACAGATGAAACCATAAAGGTGTCTGGGGTTGACGGTCATGCTGGCAGTAATGAAAATTACTTCCATCTTTGGAATAAAAAATGAATGCTTGGCAACCGTCAGCACTTCCAAATGGTGGCAGAGGAAAGTCTAAATCAAAATAGTTCTCACCTTAAACCTGCAAGCAGTCCGGCGGACTTTACCTTCTTGGACCTCTTGAACCTCGTACCCATCAAGGTGGCCAGGAAAAAAGCTGCATCTGAAATCCAAACCAACCCACGAGTCAGGGTTCCAACCTTCCAACCATGAGCAGTGCTAGTTTCTGCTAAGAAATGGGACTCGGCTTCAAGGCTCTCATTATTAAAACTATTTTGGCCAGATGCTGATGGATCACGCCAGTACCTCACAAACAAAAAAGAACACCAAAAAAAAAAAAAAAGCCCCCAAAGTAAAAGTGAAGAAGTTTCATTTAAGTGATAGAGCAAAACCTTCTGGCCTGTCTTTAGCCATGTTGGGGGGGGGGGGGGGGGGAGACCCGGGGGAAGGGGAGGAAGAAGCATCTACTGTATTCAAGATAAAGAACATAAAAAATGTAGCCTGCTTCATGCAATTTCAAGTTACAGGTCATTAATTTACTGTATATACAGTATAGGCAAACCGGAGTCAGTTTAGAGTCCTGGACTCTGCGTGCTGAGTACTGGGTGGTTTCCTCGGTCTGTCTCCTTGGGACCACAAACCTACAGTAAAAACATCTACTACTTTTTTTCTTATTCCTTTTGTGCAGATGTTGGGGTCTGAACTCAGGGCCCGGGCATTGTCCCTGAGCTTTTGTGCTCACGGCTAGTGCTCTACCACTTGAGCCATGTTGCCAGTTCCTGATTCTTCTGAGTAGTTAGAGGAGAGAGCTCCTGGACTAGCTGCGTGGGCTGGCCTTAAACCTCAGCTCAGCCTCCTGAGTAGCTAGGATTACAGGTGTGAGCCACAGGAGCCCAGCTTACCACACACGTTGTTTCTCCCCTGTGGATAGTCCCTTACTTAAGCCTAATGGACAAAAAGCTAAACTCAGGTCATCTGTGCTTTTCTCAATCAAGTCTTACTGCAGAGTAGAGTGCCAAAGCTGTGTGTGAATCGAGCGACTCAAGGCTGTCTTTTTTCAGATTTTCACAGACTTTTTTTTAATGTGCTAAAGATGCACTTGAGTTAGTACAGAATCTAGGAATGATTCTTAAGAGTTTTGCTTTTTCTTATTTAATCTAATTTTTCCAATAACAAGAAATCTGAGCTATAAGGCTTGATAGTAGTACCCTGATTTTTCAAATCTGATCCAGAAGGAACAAGCGTTGTTCCACCCAACACACGCCAAAACCACCGAGCGGCTGGCAGCACATTGCCTGGTGAACCTACTGCGGAGTAGTAAGAGGCGGGACCAATGCCTCACTCACACAGTGACGGCTTCACGTCACGCTGGTCGTTGGAGATGCGGTACGCTCCGTAGACAGACAGCAGGCCAAAAGAAAGACCCGCGATCAGAAACACAACACTGCCTGGGGAGAAAGGAAAAAAGAGAACGGTCTCTCAAAGAGAATCCCAGAGGGAAGAGACCCATTCCATTGCTTCCAGCACAACACACCCACCTTTAAGTGAACTCTCCGCTGGGCATCTTAACTGGAACGGCCATGCAAGGCCCTGGGGTCACCAGCTTCCTTCCATAGGCCTCCCCCGCATGTCCCAGTCAGCAGTTCCCTAGCTCTGTGACGAGACGGCTCCCTTACAGTCCCCCACATGACCCTCGGAGGGGGCCCACCTCTCCCCTCCAAGTGCTTTTGATGGGTGTCTGTGTAGGCTTACCTTTCCGCCTGTAACTCCAAATGCTTTCCAGTATCACCACGGCTGCATAACCAAGCCCCACCAGGTCCATTGGTGAGGGCGCAGATCTAAAGGCACAGAGAAGGGGCGCGACGAGTAAAGGAGCGTAGGGGAGCAAACCTGCCACCCACAGAAGCACACAGCTAAGTCTCTCTGGCCCAATGGAGAGAAGAAGGTTCAAGCCTTACCCCTCCCAACGCGGAGCCCTGTCCCCACCCCATCGATGTCACGGAGCTCCCGGGCAGGGGCCGGAGCTGGCTTCCCTTCCTTCCTTCCTCTATATCCCTCAGCAGTGTAGTTCCTTGTGCTCCGCTCAGCTGGGAACGGTGATGCTGTTGTATACGGTATACTGTAAGGCTTGGCATTGCTAATCTGCAGCGTCCTCCCTTCCAGCGAAACCCAGCCGCCCAGCTCTCTCCTCAGCTCAGCCACGCCAGCTGCCCTGCAGGCTGCTCGGCCACAAACGGCTTCCTGCCTGGACTTTTGCAAGTCTGTCTTGTCATTCTTCCATGTTTGCGCAGATACTCATCTTCCCCTTCCTCCCACATCGAAGGACAGGAAAGGAAGAACATGACTGCTCGGTGACTGATGCTCTACTTTGTGTGTGTACGTGTGCATGTGCGCATGCGCACATACACCAAAGCTGCGGCTTCAACTCAGGAGCAGGGCGCCGCTCTCCCTGAGCTTTCTCACTCAAGGCTGGTGCTCTACTACTTGCACCACTCCTCCACTACTGGCTTTTTGGTGGTTAACGAGAGATAAAGAGTCTCAAGGACTTTTCTGCCAGGACTGGCCTTGAACCTCCATCCTCAGATCTCAAGCCTCCAGAGTAGTTAGGGTTCCATGTGAGTCACTGGTGCCCAGCTGTTTGTTTTTGAGACAGGCTCTCCCTATGTAGTCCAGGCTGTCCTAGAACTTGTGGTCCTCCACCTCTCAAGCATTGGTCTGCACACCCAGCCAAAGATCCTCTTTTAAACATTTGTCACTAGCTTCACAGGGAGACAGCTCTGCACAGAAGAGATACCCACAATTAAATAAACAGTGCAGCGGAGCGGGGAAGTTGGTGGGCCCAGTCAGAAAGCCACGAAGGGGGAGCTGCTTCCGTCCTAAGGGAACTGAGGGGTTGGTAGAGTAGCACTTACATCCAGATCTGAGTCCCAGCAAGTCTATCCCAGCCTCGGGCGTGGAACACGAATTACAGGCAGGCAGAGACGTCAGCTGGGGGACAGCTGCGGTAAATCAAGCTAGAGCTAGGCTGAAGAAGCGTGGCCTGGGGAAAGGGCGACGGAGGCCGTGTGAGGTCCCAGAGGCAGAATCAACAGGTCCTGAGTGAGAGTGAGGCAGGCATTCACAGGGGGGACTGAGACCAGCACAAGGGCTGGGCGCTGGGGGCCCTGGAGCCACTCTCGGAGACAGGACCAATGCACAGCTGCACCTGCGGGATGGGGGAGGGGGAGAAGAGGGATGATGGAACCCTGCAGAAGACGTTCAGCCTCAGGTGCCAACACAGGAAAACACCCAAACTGCACACAGCTGTGAAGTCTCAGGGATCACTGGCTCGATTTGGTGAATAATCTGGGCTTTTCGTTTGTCCCCACAAGGAAGCCTCCGAGTAAAAGTCGATTTCCTGGTCATGGTGGCATGCTCTCTCTTGGGGACACATTCCCTTCTACTTGGAGTATTGTCGTTACATATGTGGGATTCTCCCTCTCGGCCACCTGTCCCCTTCTTCGCACCAACCAAGCACCCTGCCTGGTACAAGGTATGTGCTGAGCCCTGAACGAACGAACGAATCCAACCATCCATCTACTCTCCCATCAACCAAAGTAAGAACCTTTGTCTGAAGATGTCCTGTAAGCTATCTAACCTCTAGCCTCCTCCCAGCGAGACTGCCAGTTCATCAGACAATTCCTTAACCCTCTTAGTGAACTGAGTGCTGTTCTACAATGTCAAATCTCTTCCCAGTCCTTGCAAACAAAAACACTTTCTCAGGGCTGGGAAGGTGGCTCAGTGGTAGAGCGCTTGCCTTGCATGCTCGAGGCCCTGGGTTCGATTCCTCAGCACCACATAAACAAAAAGAAAAAAGCCGGAAGTGGTGCTGTGGCTCAAGTGGTAGAGCCCTAGCCTTGAGCTGAAGAGCTGAGGGACAGCACCCAGGCCCAGAGTTCAGGCCCCACGACCGGACCCAAAAAAAAAAAAAAAAAAAAACTTTCTCAGAGGACATTCAGATGGAAAGCAAGCACCTTTCTTGTTCCTTTTTGACGGTAGGGCCATGTGGCCAGTCCAGAAACATCTATTAATGCCAAAAGCGGCTTTAAGGTTAAAAACGTTGGGGACCAGGTTGGGAAAGCCCATCTCCACTTCCTGTCAACAAAAGCCACACTCAGACCTTGTAAAGGGCCAAGAAGCACCTTGTTACAGTGCAGCAAAAGGCCAAGCATTTGCAGCACCAAGCCAAACACCAGGTGAGAGGCCCTGAGATGCCCTCCCCACGCAAGTCCACCAAAAGGTGGAGGTGTCACAGAGGTTTCCGTAGAGCATTATGCACAGAGCATTCCCACAGGCTGAGAGCACACATGACTACCCGGAGCTCAGTGCGCACGGCAGACCTCAAGTCTGGGTGGTGGGGGGGAGATCAGCACCCCAGCAAGCATCCTGGAATGGTCCCTGAGCCCACGCCCAGGAGGGCAGAGGACAGGGCGGGAGGGAGACGCCAGGGTGAAACGGCAGAAAGACCGGTTGGGAGGAGATGGGGGCAGACTCCACCCTCTGAACAGCCACACCCCTGCAGGCAAGGTCCTGGGGGAGGCCAACCCCATCCTCCACACAGCCTCACCCCTGCAAGCAAGGGGGGGGGCAGACCCCATCCCCCACACACCCTCACCCCTGCAGGCAAGACTCTGGGGGAGGCCAACCCCATCTTCCACACAGCCTCACTCACCCCTGCAAGGTCCTGGGGAGGCAGACCCCATCCTCCACACAGCCTCACCCCTGCAAGCAAGGTCCTGGGGGAGGCCAACTCCATCTTCCACACAGCCTCACCCCTGCAAGCAAGGCGGGGGGGGGGGGGCAAACCCCATCCTCCACACAGCCTCACCCCTGCAAGGTCCTGGGGGAGGCAGATCCCATCCTCCACACAGCCTCACCCCTGCAAGGTCCTGGGGGAGGCAGATCCCATCCTCCACACAGCCTCACCCCTGTAAGCAAGGCCCTGGGGAGGCAGACCCCATCCTCCGCACAGCCTCACCCCTGCAAGGTCCTGGGGGAGGCCAACCCTATCCTCCACACAGTCCCACCCCTGTAAGCAAGGTCCTGGGGGAGGCCAACCCTATCCTCCACACAGCCTCACCCCTGCAAGGCCCTGGGGGGGGGCAGACCCCATCCTCCACACAGTCCCACCCCTGCAAGGCCCTGGGGGGGCAGACCCCATACTCCGCACAGCCTCACCCCTGCAAGGTCCTGGGGGAGGCAGATCCCATCCTCCACACAGCCCTACCCCTGCAAGGTCCTGGGGGAGGTAGATCCCATCCTCCACACAGCCCCACCCCTGCAAGCAAGGCCCTGGGGAGGCAGACCCCATCCTCCGCACGGCCCCACCCCTGCAAGGCCGGGGAAGCCGGACTCTGCGCACCCTGCCCCTGCCGGGCCCTCCGCCTCTCCTGAGCCGCAGTGTTATTCCCCGTTTTGCAGGAAGATGTCGGGCAGGCAGAGGAATCAGGGCGGTGGGGGAAAGCTCACCCGCAGCCCTGCAGAGAGGCCGAAGCCAAGGACCTGGTACCGGAAATGGGAAGTGGCCTCCGCGCAGGCGCGTTGGACGGGGGGGGGGGGGGGGGGGGGGGGGGGGGGACGCCAGGGTTGCCTGGATGTACGCATGCGCGGCCCCGCCCCGCCCTGGAGCCCAAGGACAGCGACCCCAGGCGCCCGGTCCCGGTCCTGCACCCGGTCCTGCACCCGGCCCGGTCCCCAGCGGGAAGCTGCCGCCTCCTGCCGGCGGGTCGGCCGAGGCTGGGACGGCGCCTTCCCCCGAGGGGAGGAGCGAGCGTTCAGCGGTGCGGAGTTCACGGTGGCCGGGGCTTCGCGGGTTTCCCCGCGGGTCCGGGAGCGGGACCCGCCCGGCACGGGGGGGGCCGTGGGGGGCGCGGGGCCGGCCATGGGGGGCGCGGGGGGCGCGGGGCCGGCCATGGGGGGTGCGGGGCCGGGCGCGGGGGGGCGCGGGGCCGGGCGCGGGGGGGGGGCGTGGGGGGGCGCGGGGCCGGGCGCGGGGCCGGGCGCGGGGGGGCGCGGGGGGGCGCGGGGCCGGCCATGGGGGGTGCGGGGCCGGGCGCGGGGGGGCGCGGGGCCGGGCGCGGGGCCGGGCGCGGGGGGCGCGGGGCCGGACGTGGGGGGCGCGGGGCCGGGCGCGGGGGGGGGCGCGGGGGGCGCGGGGCCGGCCGCGGGGTGACTTCTTCCTGCCCAGGGGGCAGAGTCTGGTCAGGACAACGCCATTCCCGCCGGCCGCGGGGCGCAAGCAGCCCCCACGGGACTGGGGAGCGAACCCCGGCCCCCCCCAGTCAGACGGGGTCTCCTGTGCGTGCGAACCTGGCTCCGCAGGCGCGGTCCTCGGAACGCAAGACCAGACACTGCACGTTTGCTTTGTTACTGGGTTTGCCATCACAGAACGCCGATGGGATCCAGGGGGGCCTCGTCTCCCTAAGCTAGACTCCCGCACAGCCCTGGACCAAGCGAATGCTCCCAGCAGAGCCAGGATCTACCCAGGCGACCCAAGCGCTGGGCCAAAGCCGCTTTGTTAAAACAGGAAAATCTTCCTCGTTTTCTGTATACCTTTCTCATCCACGGGAGCTGCCTCTGGCTGCCAGGCTGCAGGAGCTGCTTCATTGTGGGCATGTCGCTGATCCTGGTCTTCAGAGCCTGCCGTGCACAAAGCAGAGATTCAGGGAGGCGCTCCATGACCCAAACCACCTACCAGCCAAGCCCAGGAAATCTGAGACGGCCTGGCCAAAGACCAAGCAACTGCCTGCATCAGCAGCTACGTGGAGACTGGAGGTGGACACAGTAGGTAAGACGTATGTATCAGCCCTGGGTCTCTTGTGAAAGGCAACTTGATCCTGGAGTAGCATCAGCCTCAACTTTTCTTGCATAGAGAGTGTGTGTGTGTTCCCTATGCCTTTACTGGAGCTTGAACTTAGGGCCTGGGCACTGTCTCAGGTTTTTTTTTTTTTCCCCCCCTTTCAAGGCTATTATTCTACCACTTGAGCCACAGCTCCACTTGGGCTTTTTGCTGGTCAATGGGAGATAGGAGTCTCATGGACTCTCCTGTCCAGGCTGGCTTTGACCCATGATTCCCAGATATCAGCCTCCTGAGCAGTGAGGATTGCAGGTGTGAGCCACCTGTGTCTGGTCCATGGTTTCTGTTAAAGCAGAATAAGTGCCAGAAAGCTCAGTTGTGGAGTCCCAAGGATGGGACGTGCAGGCCTGGGGAGGCCGGGCTGGAGCGCTCAGGGACAGAGGCTCCTGTCCCATTCAGGACGGGAGAGCCGCGCCCGCTCTGCCAAGTGAGGTGGGTCACCTGCCGCGGAGGGAAGCCGGCGAGGATGTTGTAGATCATCTCTACCAGGTGAATGTCAGCCTTACTCAGCCTGTTGCCAGCTAGGAAGTCTTGCCCATGGCTCTTGGACACCTGCAGGATTGGGGGATGAGACTGTGAACACACACACAGAGCCAGACTGGGGCCCCCGGTTCTCCCTGGGGCTCCCTATCCTATTTTTCCTCCTTAGCTGCCTGTGGGCAGGTGTTGAGTGCAGGTTTTGCCTGACTCAGGACAGTGAGGAGCAGGCTCTCCTCCATTGACATCCCGGTGGTATCCGCCTCTCCCACCCCATCTGCTCCTTCAGAACGGCCGCATCCTGCTTCTGTCGGCCAATCCACTGAAAAGGGTGTGGCCCTAGCAGTTCAGGAAGAACCTGCCCACTCGGCTCTCTCCCATCTTCTCTGGCATATTTCTTCCTGTGTGTAGACCATGTCAGGGTCTCTGATTTCCTGGTTGTCTAGGATCTGAGGCAAACCCGAGTGAACTTGGACTTGTCACCTCCTTTGCAACACTTACGCTGTGTAGAATCTATATGACAGATAGATTCCAAAGTTCAAAAGCACCAATGTCTGACACCTACTTTTCAATGCATGAGAAGTATGTCTGCGTTATAGAGAGGGGTGGAGAGACAGACGCATATGATAAAGCCAGGAAAACAATGCTGTTTTAGCAATCCGTGGAGAGTTTCAGCATGTTCATTAAATATTTCAACCTTTCTAAATGTATGGAATTTTGCATCACAAAATCAAGGGTGGCTCATGCCTGTAATCCTAGCTACTCAGGAGACTGAGACCTGAGAATCGTTCAAAGCCAGCCTGGGCAGGAACGTCCATGAAACTTACCTCCAATTAGCCACCAGAAAACCAGAAGTGATGTGGTGGCTCAACATGGTAGAGCACTAGCCTTGAGTGAAAAAGCTCAGGGACAGTGCCCAGGCCCTGAGTTAAAGTTCCACAACTGACCAAACACATGGTATTTATTAAACTATCACAATAATATTTTAGTTTTAAATAATTAGTAGAAAACACACACATGGCAGTACCGATGAAAGGGAATACCCTGGAGAGTGCCCTCGGCCCATCTGCCTGTGAGCCTGTGCCTAGACGCCAGCCATCCCGGAGGCAGGAAGCCGCTCCTCCTTGAGGACTGCATCTGTCAGCACCCTGATCCTGTCCTCCCCAGCTTCCAGAATTGTGGACAGATGAACGTGTGTTGTATAAGTGGCCTGTGAGATACCTTCCAGAACAAAGTCACCTCTAAACTCTTCTTTCACAGACAGGGTCTTAAACATTTAAAGTGACCAGGCTGAGCTTGAACCTGCAATCCTTCTGCCTCATTTTCCTGACTGTGGGGATTATTGGTGTGTGCCACCATGCCCGGCTCTCTACACATTGTCGCCCTTAATAGTGAGACAGCTTCCACTTACCTTTTCGAAGGCAGGGAAATACCGGCTTTTTGCTTTCTCTATCCCTAAGGGCAATGTTTTCTTCTTTTTTTGCCAGGTGGATCGAATGGGTAAAGAATAAACATCTCATTCAAATCCACCAAACCCTCTGAACACATATCAATCCTGAAAGGCAAAAACAACCAAACTGTCATGGCCTCCTGTAATTTGCCTCTACTGGGCTGGGGTTTATTGTGTGCCAGCCATTGTGCTAGCATTTTTAGGTATACATTAGCAGGCTTATTAGTGCAACCTACAGAGAGCTTATGCCTAAAACTATTGCTATATACATGACCAAATAACAGTACAAAGATCATCTGTGACCCATCTGGAGAGTCACGAGAGAACTTGCTAGAATCATTCCACGTAACTGCAAATACTATGTGTGCCACGTACTCACTTAGCTTTTTTGCACAAGGCTTTCACTCTACTACTTGAGTCACACCTCCACTTCCAGCAGTTTGGGGCAGTAAGAGTCTCACAGACTTTTCTTTCCAGGATTGGCTTCAAGCCCTGTTCCTCAAATCTCAGCTTCCTGAGGATTACAAGTGTGAGCTACCAGTACCTGGCCTCTACTGTACTGTCGTAGTCCTGCTTAGGCTGTTCAGGCCTGAGTCCTCCCGCTACAGACCCAGTAAGTCCAAGATCCACCTGGCCGCCTCTCGGGTGTGGCTGTGCCCCTCTCACCCGCTGTCGAGGCCAGAGTTAGAAATTCTCTCAGATATTCCCCGCACACACGGCTCACAGCCTTCCGTGCGCTGCTGTCCAACTCCATTCTCCTCTGCAGTCCCTGAGATGCCATGGAGAAAGTCCTGGTGTGGGCGGGGCCTCACAGCCTCCAGCAGTGTTTGGCACCTGTCACCTTCATGTCTTCTCTTGCAAGCTAGACTTTCCACAGTCCTAAATAGAACCGCTATAGTGTCGTGCACTCGCACACCCGTTTTCAGTCCTTGAAAGCATTCGGTGATGAACAAAAATAATAGCAGATTTTTTTGGTGGTGGTGGTGGTAGTTGTGGGGCCTGAACTCTGGGCCTGGGCACTGTCCCTCAGCTCTTCAGCTCAAGGCTAGCGCTCTACCACTTGAGCCACAGCACCACTTCCGGCTTTTTCTGCTTATGTGGTGCTGAGGAATCGAACCCAAGGTATCATGCATGCAAGGCAAGCATTCTACCACTGAGCCACCTTCCCAGCCCATTATAGCAGAATTTGACAAATATCAGTGGGTTCTAATCCCAGAATTTTTTTTATCACCTCAAAAGGAAAACATGTCTGCCTCTAATATACCACTCCTCTGTCTAGTCTAATATACCACTCCTCCGTCTAGTCTGATACACCACTCCTCTACTCTGTGTTCCTGTTTCATCGGAAGAAATCCTCTTCCACGTGGCCTGTGTTTGGCTTCTTCTCTGTAACATAGTATTTCCAAACATTCCCGTGCCATGGCGTGCTTCTGCACATCATTCCTCTTCATGGCCAACGACTGTTTTATTGCACACTACAGAGCATTTTGTAGAGTCATCCAGCCAAGAGGGAGGCATTTTGAACATGAGCAATTCTTCCTCCTAGCCCTTGTCATCCCTGTACCCATCAACCACCCTCTCGTCACTCCTCCATCTCTCAAACTCCAGGCTCAGATGATCCCTTCCTTCTCTGAGCTTGCTGTGAGCCTGCTGTGAGCTCCTGTGGCATG